TGTGTGTGCAACTGGATTTCTAAATTTTGGTTTACTTTAATATTTTTGTTTCACTTTAATATTTTTGTTTCAGTAAGCTTAAGTGAGGCTGAGCTGTCATTTACCTTTTTGTTTGGTTTTGATATTAAGGTTATGCTAGCCTCATAGAAGGAGCTATTTTTTCCTTTTCTTTCTCTGGAATAATTTGCGTAAGTTTGGGATCATCTATTTCTTAATTTTTTTTGATAGAAATCATCTGTAAAATCATCTGGGTCTGCTTCTTTATTTGTGTGGTGGATTCAATTTCATTAATTGTGAGAAGTCTCTAAGTAAAGTCTACTCTTTGTTGAGTCAGTTTTGGTAAATTACATTGTTCCAGGAAACTGCTATTTATCTATTTCCTAATTCATTGGGATAAAATTGTTCATAATCTCTTATTTTTAAAATCACTGCTGTATCTGCTATGTCCCTTTGGTCATTCTTAATATTGTTTGTCTTTTTCTTTTTTTCTTAATCTAATTTGTCAAAGGATTTAAATTTTACTTGTTATTTCAGAGAACCAGCTTTTGGTTTTATGGATCTTCTCTTTTGTATTTTGTTTTCGTTTATTGATTTCTGCATTTTCCCCTTCAAATTTCCCTAGGTTTACTCTTATTCCTTTATTAACTTCTTTTTTTTTTAATAATTTTATTTTTTCCCCCAAAGCCCCAGTAGATAGTTGTATGTCATAGTTGCACATCCTTCTAGTTGCTGTATGTGGGACGCCGCCTCAGCATGGCCAGAGAAGCAGTGCGTCGGTGCGCGCCCGGGATCTGAACCCGGGCCGCCAGCAGCAGAGCGTGTGCACTTAACCGCTAAGCCACGGGGCCGGCCCCTACTAACTTCTTGATTAGATGTTGAGCTACTCATTTTCTAGTCTTCCCTAATAGAACCATTTAAGATTACATATTTTTCCATTAGGTACTATGAACACTGCGTCCACAAATTTTGATACTTATTTCCATTCAGTTTTAAATATTTTCCACTTTCCATTTGTGCCTATCAACTTCCCTTGGCCCCTCCAGACCCACTCACTTCCTCTTCTCTCCACCCTGCTCTCTGCCCGACGGGCTGCCTGTACAGACTACATCAATGGCCTGCTGGTGCCCTCTACTCCTGGTTGGGTACTGCCAATGGGGATTCCTGGCAGGAGAGGGAAGAGAAGGAGGAGAGTGAGGTCAGGGTATTTATTTCCTTGGTCTCTTCTCTGTGAGATTGACTTAGGCTGGTTATCTCACTTGACAGAAGGTCACTGCTTCTTGAAAAGTGGCCTGCTCTACAAATAGATTCTCTCTCCTTTGGGATTCCAGTAACTCCTCTCTCTCCTTGCCCCTTTGGACCTAGAGGCTGTGACTGTTCTACTGTTGCCAGTCCCAGATCCTCCACTGTCCCTTGATTCCTATAATATGTCCTACCCACACCTTTAAAATTTGTTCCTTTATAAATCATTTGAGTGACTGTTACCTGCTGGGACCCTGCATGATACACCATTTTAATTTTGTCTTTGGTCCATGAATTATTTAGAAGATTGTTTTTAACTTTCCAAGTATGTAAGTTTTTTTAAAATTATTCTTTTTAAACTAATTTCTAATATAACTGATCTATATTTAGAGAACATGTTCTATATTATAATGATTCTTTGACATTTGTTGAGACTTGCTTTGTGGTCAATTTTTATTTTGTTCCACAGGTGCTTGAATAGAATGGGTATTTTCTATACCTTTACTACTTTTACCTGAGAGAAGGGGGTTGTATAATGGTATATTTGTCACATTTCTTCACATACACTTGAGACCATATTATTAGGTGCATACGGGTTTAGAATTATTTTATCTTCCTGGTGACTTGTTCTTTCTGTTATTACTATTATAGTGACTCTCTTTATCTCTAATGATACATTTTTCTTTAAAGTCTATTTTGTCTGAAATTAATATAGCTACTCCAGCTTTCATTTCCTTAATACCACCACTGTATATCTTTTTTACCTTTCCCTTCAAATTTTCTTTATCCTTCTGTTTTAGGTATGTCTTGTGTGAACAGCATATTGTTGGATTTTTTAAAACTATGTAATCTAATTATCTGTTTTTTAAACAAAAGAAATATTGCCCTTTTAATTTACAATCAAAGTATAGTACATTTATCTAGGGTTCAAGGGATTCGGATTCCAGGCTCTACCCTACTATTGTGTGACGTTGAACAACTCTTTCAAACTTGCTGAATCTCAGGAGAGTCATGATAAAATACAAGTGTTGAATCAGATTACCTTGAATATCCCCTCTAGCTCATTTACTCTATCATACCATTAAATTAGAGTAACTTGTTACAAATTGTTTTGACACAGGGAGTCTTAAAACTAGACCTAAAATTAAAAACAAAAGCCTAGTGTAATTTGGAGAAATAATTCAAATAGTAACTGATGTTTAGCTTTGGGATATTTGCTCTGTCATCTAAAACTTTAACTTTTCATTATTCAATGTATAATATTTTTGCAGTTTAATCTTTTCTGAGGATAACCCATGTTTTTTAAATTTTATTTATTTATTTATTTTTCCCCCCCAAAGCCCCAGTAGATAGTTGTACGTCATAGTTGCACATCCTTCTAGTTGTTGTATGTGGGACGTGGCCTCAGCATGGCCAGACAAGTGGTGCGTCGGTGCGCGCCCGGATCCGACCCCTGGCCGCCAGCAGCGGAGCGTGCGCACTTAACCGCTAAGCCACGGGGCTGGCCCCCATGTTTTTTTTAAAAGACATATTTTCCATGATTTGGGGATGTATTTAAATATATTTTCTTGTTCTTCTAAAGATCTTTCATATTCTTTAATAATCCAAAAAAGCTTTGCAAGGTTGTATTATTTCCTGCCTCATTTTCTTTTAGCTTATTTTTTAATTTCTACAAAATCTTTTCTAGAGTTGTGAATGCCACAATCTTTACCACTTTTTCACAAGATTAATCTAAACATCACATCACTATATCTGAATTCTAAGACCTTGGAAATAAACCTACAGATCTCATTGTTAGCCTTTCCATTTAATGGAGGTGCAGTAATAACTGCATCTAGTTTTTTTTTTAGATTTATTTATTTATTTATTTATTTTTTTCCCCCCAAAGCCCCAGTAGATAGTTGTATGTCATAGGTTCACATCCTTCTAGTTGCTGTATGTGGGACTCGGCCTCAGGATGGACGGAGAAGTGGTGCCTCGGTGCGCGCCCGGGATCCGAACCCGGGCCTCCAGCATCAGAGCGCGCGCACTTAACCACCAAGCCACGGGGCCGGCCCTGCATCTAGTTTTTGTAGTCAATGGTGTTATACCATTTTATTTGGAGCCCAATTTTGCATGGTTGCCTGTAGTGACACAGCCTTTAGCATTAAGGCCTTTAGGAAGGAAGAAGTCACACTGTTTCTTGCTCTGGTTTTCCCCTCCTTTTTTTGCACCTCTGTGTCATTGTGAACCAAATAGCTTCCCAAATCCATGACTGGTCCCTGGGCTTCCTCAACCCACCTAGAGAACTGCAGCAACCTGGAAGGTGGTGCCAGGACCAATCTTTGTCATTTAACTGACAATAATCTTGACCGGGAGTCTGCTTTCTTATACACCAATCATATCTTCCTGAAACTATAACCCTATAGTTACCTTGATTTGACTTGGTTATTTCTTAATCCACCCTAATAGCACATTTACCGACTCTCAGGATGGGTCAATTTTCCAGATGACTCATCCCATCTTTTATTGGGCCATTTTCCCAAGTAGATGCAAAATATGTGAGTGGGAAGTGGGAGGCTAGAACCTAAACTGAGCCTCTTTAACTTTATTCTCAAGGTGGGGGATCATCAGATTTGAGTGCATGAGTGCACCCCTATAATTTAAAAAATATTTAAACTTATATAAGGAACAGACTATAATATTAATCTTAGTTTAAAAATAAGGATAAAAAAACCCCTCAAAGCCCCCTTTCACCATCCCCCCATTGCTCTCCTCTCTAGGGCTAACCATTATCATTTTGAGTACAGCTTTCTAGTGTCCTTTCTATACCTTTCTTTCCTCTACTGTATATACATATACACATTTTCTTTTTACATAAATGACACCTCCTCCTTTTATAGGTGAGGAAACTAAGTAAGATCTTGGGAGGAGACGTGTGTTGACAAATTTATTGGAAGAAAGTGGACTGAACAATCGTTTATTAAAACCTACTATGGGGCTGGCCCGGTGGCTAGTGGTTAAATTCGCCCCCTCCCCTTTGGCTGCCCCAGGGTTTCTGGTTTGGATGGCAGGTGCAGACTTACACACCGCTCATCAAGCCATGCTGTGGCAGCAGCCCACACACAAAATAGAGGAAGACTGGCGCAGATGTTAGCTCAGCAACAATCTTCCTCAAGGAAAAAGAGGAAGATTGGCAACAGATGTTAGCTCAGGGCCAATCTTCCTCACCAAAAAAAATAAATAAAAAGAAAACCTACTATGTGTCAGACTCTGCCGCCAGTGCTTTATTGGCAGGAAGGGGTCTGGTATTCTGCTTCTGTTGGATGGGCCGCTGCACTAGGTTAACTAAGCAATTAGTTTAGAGGTTGGGGAGCAGGTGCGAAAGTCGCTTCAGTGCGATGATGTAGGATTAGTATTTTGAGGGGAGCTGCAGGAAACCTAGCAGAGGGCTGTGGAGCTGCAAAAAGAGAAAATAAAAAACTGTCATCGGCAGTTGGGTCTGTCAGTGAAGATTGTGAAGCTGAAACGCGAAAAACCTACTACCTGCCGAGCCCGAAGCTTCCTTCGGCAACCAGGAACAGATATCGCCTCTAGGAGACTGGCCTTGGAGTTTGGAGAGGAAGGCACCAGAGGTTGCAAAGAAGGATGCGGCGGCAGACAGCAACCGAGCACCCAACCGGGAGAGCAGAGAGAGCGCTCTCGGACCGGTTTGGAAGTGCGCCTGCGCCGACCGCCGCGGGGGGCGGGGGGAGGGGCGGAGCTTGGGGGCGGTCAATGAGCCTGCGCAAAGCGCGCGGCGAGGTGGGGGAGGGCGGTCCGTGTGTGTCTGTGTTGTTGTTCGGCGGCAGCGGCGGCGGCGGTAAGATGGCTGCCCACGGGGGCTCCGCTGCGTCCTCGGCGCTGAAGGGGTTAATTCAGCAGTTCACCGCCATCACCGGTAAGAGACGCGGTTACCGGAAGGTGGAGAGTGGGGTCTGGAGCGGGCGGCCGGTCCGCCCCGGGCTTCCCCTTACCTTCTTCATGCATTCCTCCCTCGGGCTTTACCCACAGCTCCGTCCTCCCTCCTGAGGAAGAGGCGACGGCGGCGTCGGGTCTCCGGGTTCAGTCGGGAGACAGCCCCCCCACGCACCCCATACCCTCGTTCTCAGTCTCCTCGTAGTGTGGGGGGAGACCCGCCCCAACCCCCTCTCAACCCAGACCTGGGGAATGGGCCGAGCCCATCCGCCTCCGCCGGCCCGGGGACCTGGGGGCGGGAGGGGTGGGGGGCCGCACCCGGGCCACCGCCCTCCTCCTCCTTCATCTTCTCTTCCTCTCTCTGCAGCCCTGGGGTGCAGTGCATCCCCTCCCCTCCTTTTTCCTTTCTTCCTCGGCCAGGTCATTCTCCCCCCGTCCCTGGCCTGCCCTTCCCCTTTCTGGGCCCCTCGGAGCCATCGCTGTGGCCCTGGCGTGTTCGGGCCCTCCCGCCTTAACGGCGAGGCTGGTGGGTTCGGCAGCGCCTTTACCGATCCCGGGGGATAGGCCGCCAGAAAGGGGGGGGTGCTGAGGAGTACCTTCAAGACTGAGGTTTTAAGAGAAGAATGAAGGTGAACCCCCCCAACCTTAATAGAGAAGGCCTGGAGGAATCCTGGGTGATGTTTCCCACCTCCCCATAATAAAATCATAAAGACCGAGACGATGGCGCCGGGGCCTCCTGCTGATAAAATAGGGATGGCGGCAGAAACTTCTTTGAGAGAAAATCAGTTTCTGGGTGTCAGTATCCCCCAAACCTTCGGTTTTTCTGTTCCTTTGGACCCCTGCGAAGGGCACACGCAGATCCTCTTACCGCCTGGAGGAAAGGCCCTAAGCCATTCTATGAATTCTCTGTCTTGTTTCTGATGGTGCTGAACTTTTTTTGCATGAGTTATTAGAGGGCGGAGCAAATGATGAAGTTCTCTGTGGAGTGATTTGAGAGAAGAGTACTCCATGTGCTTGAGTGTAATTTTGCCGTTCTAGTTTGTCATTTTGGAAGGAGGTCAGAATGTTAGTTCCCTCTCTTAGCAGATCTGTACTTTATCTGGTAATTGGTTAGATGCAGAGACATTTCTGTAACATACATAGAGTTTGACGTGCAAGATCTGGTTAACTAAAATTTTATGTTGTTTTAACCACTACAGGTTGTATGCAAGTTGCTGTTTTATAATTAAAGCTAGTTTTACTTTTTGCTCTGCAATGATAACTAGATGTTTGATGCATTATGTAGCTTGTGGGCATGAAACATCACGTCAAAGTTGGTAAAGTACAATTTGTAATAAAATTAGGGTGAAGAATGGAATGATAACTTTTCTTAATATTTTAAAACTTTTGTGTTTGGACTGTTATATTAAAGGTGTAATGCATTTCCCAGTGTCTAAGCAGATCATCACTGTTGGGAAAATTAGAAAAATACTGTGTATATAAATTAATATTGCTGCATTATGTTTATATGGAAAAGTCTTTCTAGTGAATCAGATATAGAAGTGATTATCATTATTTATCTTTTCTTTAGATTTTCTAGAGGTCTTTTAAAATGCCACCTATTTAATTTCAGTTTTTTACGCGAACTACCACCCTGTCAGGAACTCGGATTGCTTTAACCTCACATTATTTCTTCTAATGCAACATTTTTGTTACATATAGACAGAATCCAAAGAATGGTGAGATAAATGACTCACTTAATTGCTTTAATTCTGTTTTTATCTATTAGTCTACATGGCTTGTTTCTGGTCACAGACCTGTCTATTCCTGAATCAAGTTGGAGACCCTTAGTAGACAGTGGTATCTGGAAGTCTGCAAAAGGGAAAATACCTTAGATTTTTCTTAATGTAATATGAATTTCTATTAATAATTTTTGAGATTTTTTTTTTTTTTTACAAGATAGCGATTAACTATCAGAAACATATGATTGACTCCTTTAGTCTTTTTCACATCTTAAAAAGAAATTTTGGGTCTCTGTCCGCATAAATTTTAAATTGTAGTATTTATGATAAAAAGGTACCATTTTAATATTTATTCATTGCTGGATGAATTAAACTGACCTTAAGAGCTTATGCTCTGATTTCACAAAGGTTTTACTTATCTGGAAGCTCAGCATTCTGGTAAAAGCAGTCCATTTTCAAAAATATGAGTCTTATGTTTTCTGTGGCATTTAGAAATAGAACAGAAAATTGAAAGAACTGTAAGTCTTATTTCTCACTAAATAGAACAGATCTCTTTCTATATATATATGTGGTATGAAGTAATGACTGAATTTCTTAAAAGTTATTAAAAAGATATCACAACATGAAATAATTTTGAAAAAAGGAAAAACTAATTCACTCTCACAACAGCAATATTATTTATTTCACGTTATCTTCCAATTCTTGTTTATATACTTATTTTTATTTTCTTATTTTTACATTGGCATCATAGTATACATAGTTTAGAATTCTGAAATTTTCAATTAATATTGCATCATAAATATTTTTTCCATGATCAAATTCTTTGATAAGCAAGTAGTCAAGGGAAATGATAATCTTTGAAGTAATCACATTGAGAAGCTATATACCTTTACTATTGATGCCGTTAAAAGTCATTTGAAGCTACATAGAAAACCAGTCTTGTTACTTTATAGTCTATCACATTTTACAATATTACTCAGTTTGATCTCCCTTGATATTCATCATACATGGCTTTGAATGACTGCTGACTGCTTTCAGAAGTCATATCGGTTCTTAAAACATGAGGAAAGAATGTGCTGCTGGATCTGAAGGTAATTCCAGAGGAACAATTTTTTTAAATGTTTTGAACCATGGCAGTATCCTGTTAACATCAACTTGAGCTGACATCCAGCCACACATACACGAAATGCACAGATACCATCAGAATAATTCATGAGATGAGGGATACATAGATGCTATAAAAAAGGTAAAAACTAACAGGCAATCAGAAGGTGAGGACAGGGCCGGCCCCGTGGCTTAGTGGTTAAGTGCGTGCGCTCTGCTGCTGGCGGCCCGGGTTCGGATCCCGGGTGCGCACTGACACACCGCTTCTCCGGCCACGCTGAGGCCGTGTCCCACATACAGCAACTAGAAGAATGTGCAGCTATGACATACAACTATCTACTGGGGATTTGGGGGGAAAAAATAAATAAATAAAATATTAAAAAAAAAAAAAAAAAAAGAAGGTGAGGACAAAATGTGAGGGAATAGAAAGTGGAGGCTGAGAAGAGTACAAGAGGTTGCTAGTACGTGTAGAATTCCATAAAGTTTTGTGCATAGTAGGAATTCATGTACTTAATGAAATTATAGAACCTCAGTTGTAGAAGAGACCTTAGTTTAGTCTTTCTCTAAAGTTCTCTAAAGTTGAATGAATGCATGTTTGTTATAGAAATCAGAAACTGTGGAGTATGTAATATTGGGTTGTGGCCAATTTCTTTTCATATTCTTTTCTGCAATACATTTCCCTTGGGTTACTATTAAAATGTGTTTAAGTTGTCTGTGTCAGAAAAGATGGTTGCAAATGTTCAAGAAATCAAAAGAAAACTCATATGGAATTTTAAGAACTATTTCCAAAGGTGATAATGACATTTGAGCAGATATTTAGGGAGTAATAAATTTTGAGTTGTGAATGGAATCTTACTAAAAAATTCAGTATTTATTGATAGACTACTCTGTGCCAGGCATGGTTCAGATCCTGGGGATACTATGCTATACTAAGACATGGTGTCTATCCTCAAAAAGTTGAAAGGTTAACGGGAGGGGCAGACATAGACACATAGAGAGACAAGAAAGGGGAGACAGTAGGTTTAGGGAATTGATGTTAATTCCAAATGAATAGAGATAGCTAGTGGGAGATGCAAAAAATGGAGCTGAAGAGATAAGTGGCTGCTAGATTTGGAATGCCTTGTAACCCGTGTTAAGAAATGTTGGCTTTATTCTGAGTGTAGTGGAGAGTCAATGAAAAATTTTAATTAGGGTAGTGACATAATCAGATTTTGGTTTTTTAGAAAGAGCTACTTGGCTCTAGTGGAGTAAAGGTAGGCATAGAGATCAATAGAAGACTGTTGAATTAGTCCAGGAAAGACACTGGTGTCCTAAAATAAGTTAGTGGCAGAGAAGTGGACTCTGAAAGATATGAGAAGGAGTCACAGGAGTCAGAATGAAACTTAGGATTCTGTTTTGGACATCTAGGTCTATAATGGTGCTATTTGTGAAGGTATGGGATAGTAGAAGAGGTTTGGGGACGTGATGATTAGTTCAGTTTTGGGTAAGTTGCTGCCTGTGGGACTTCCAAGTGGAGCTGTTCAATAAGCAAATGAATATTTGGATGTAGAAGGAGGAGTGACATCTGAGGAATCATATTGATGGCAGTTGAAGCTATAAAAGTGGATGGCATCTTGCAGGGGAGTGTGTAGTGTAAGAAGAAAATAGGCTCCCAGACACATAGCCGAAGGGACACTAACGCTTGACAGACAGCAAAAGAGATAGTGCAGAGAGGACTTAGGAGAAACCAAAGATAGAGGAGGAAAACCAGGAGAATGTGATGGTACTTCCAACATCAGGAGTACAGTAATACCTCACATATTATGTAAGCACTTTAGGAAACCAGAAATCATGGAATATTCATAGATTTTTTTTTGGTTGGGCCTGGAAGATGTTTTAGAAACCATCTTGACATGTTTCTGAGTTAATCAAACGAGCGACTGAAGGCCCAGAGAAGTAGTGACTTAGGGTTATATGTCTAGGTCAGTGCTTGTCAAACTTATTTGTAGGAAAGGACCTTTGTTTTTTTTTTAAATTTCCAATCTTTATGGACCAGTACTTTTGAAAAATACAATAAAAATAATTGCTTGAAAAATGAAATAAAAATAACACATACAAAATATAAGCCCAAATTCTTTTAAAAATTAAAGTGTAATTTGCATACGGGAAAAATCTACCC